CCAACAGGTTTATTGGGTACCTTATTGGAAGCAGCAAAGGAAAAGATAGCAGCATCATTAGTTTTTCGCACACCAAATCATTCTCAGCAGCCACACTTTCTACCTCTTTTTCCTTCACACCCAGATTAGGTTCAGCAATCGAGGTAGAGTTCGGGCGCCCACTAGTGATCATTCTTTGCTCTGTTTCATTCTCTGCAGATGTCTGTTGTTCCCCTTCTTTAGTTACAAACAACTGACGCTTCCCTTTAGTGATCTGAGCAAGCTCTTCAACCTCTTTGGCACGGCCCTTCCTTGGTGATGCGCGCAGGAAAAGACCCCACCCTAATCGCTTCTCTTTCTCATCCTCTGACGCAGCAAGGCAATCCCTCTCAGAGTGACCGATCTCTCCACAAGCAAAGCAGAAGTAAGGTAGCCTTTCGTACTTAAATTCAACTTTGAATTCATTCCCTCCCCTAGCCTTAATACGCTGAAAACGCCGCAAAGGCCTAGTAACATCAAGCAGCAATCGCACTCTCCTGTATCGGTTCAAACCTAAAGCATCATCTTCTATCTCAATCAGTTCACCTATTCCCGCAACTAGGGCTTCAATGTATTCATTCGATCTACAATTAAAGGGCAATTTGCAGATACGAACCCAGAAAGGTGAGAGATTCAGGTTAACCTGATCAGGTTGTTCATCGCCTCCTACTTCATTCAACACAATGAGATGATTATCCCAGCACCAAGGTCTACCCTTCAATACCTTCTCCTTATCTCGCCAATGAAAGAATTGAAAGCCATACAAATTAGGGCTTAAGACCCTAATAACCATCCCCTCCGATGGCGCCTAGACCTTCAACATTGTGCGCTTAAAGGCTTCCACATTGTAGGGTCTAGCCGTGCATAAACGCCCAACCAACAGTAGTTCGAGGTTTCCCTCAGATTTTGCAGATTCAATATTACCTAAATCAATAACACTCTCTTCATCATTCTCCAGTTTTAGAGAAGAGCACTTGTCAATCAAATCCTCCTCCGTGGGGACGGAGATCAGTCGTTTGAGACGGAGGTCGTTCCTTTTTCGCAAGAGAGCAAAACCCTATCTTTCGAGGGAGTCTTTAAAACAGAAACAATTAAGAATAGTTAAATATACTTTGCTTGGTCTTTTTTACTCCGTAGTTGACATATTTTTTTTTTAGGGAAATATTCTTTGGTAATATATTTTTTTCTTCTCTTAGGGTAAAATAAATAAATAAAATAAAATAAAATAAAATTACTGTTTAATTTTAAATGCTTATCAAATAAAAACTCTATAAAGTGATTTATTCCGTGTAATTTTAAGTTTGTTGGTTAATTATAGATATGAATTATAGACAAGATGTGATAAAAAGTTAGACCTATGCATAAAAAATTGTGTCAGGACCTGTAAAACAATGTCGTGTTTATCGGGCTAAGAGCAAGTTTAGCTTCAAGTCTTAAGACTTGGATGTGACATCATTTTTTGTGGTCCCCATTGAAAATAATGTCATCAAATTCTTGTTAAAAATCACTAAGACTTGCACAAATTTATCACTTTATCCCTAAGACTTAAATATATGGCATATTATATGTAGAAAAGTGTAAATAAAAAAATAATAATAATAAAAATAATAAAAATAAAAGTGAGGTAGGTTCCAATCTCAATTCTTAAGTTGAGTCTTAAAATTTCAAGACTCAAGACTCAACTTGAGACTTGCTTGAGATTTAAGAAGAAAAATGGAAAAAGTCTTAAAACTCAAAATGACAATGTTACCACAAGTCTTAGGATTTGGGGCTAAACTTGCTCTAAACTTGGCTTTTGAACTGAAATATGTTGCCTAAACCTGTACCTTTTTTTGGGCCAGTCCAGATTGGCTATCGGATCGAGTACTTGATGATCACCTCTATCAATTTTGGACTTGTCCTTGTCAAGCACATCTCCATTGGGTCTGGCTAAGCTCAACACACAAATACACAACTGAGCCCACTTGTTACATGTGTCATGTCAATATATTCAAATGGCAGCCCAATCACTACCAATCTCATGTGCTATTGTGTTATCGTATTTGCGTGTCTAAGCCAAAATTTAACCTATTGTATTGTACTTTTTTGTGTCAAATTTTGTCGTGCTTGTCAAGCTTCTTCGAAGGAAAAAATTATCCTTGGCTCATGACCCAACAACACAATAAAATAGCGTGTTGTATCGTGTTGTGTTACAATTAGCTCCATCTCATGTTGAAGTAAATTCCGTTATGTAAATCTTGAGGGTGAGAATCTCCCATCCCAAAACTTTAGAGCTAGCAAGTCAATTTGAACCAAGTTTACTCGTAGAACTAGAAGAGTAGTTTTGAAATCTTGGGGTGAAATAAGGGAATGTTTGAGGTTATTATGAAAAAGATTATCAAATAAATAACCAAAATCTTTCCATATTAAATCAAGTATGGAGAAGAAGTTGGTCACTCCCAGAGTAGGTAGAAGGGCCGTAGTTTTCTTACCTTAACTTAAATCTTCCATATTTTTGAGAAAAAAGATGGAGCAAGTCAAAATTTCTAAAACAAAGATGTGTTACTGGTTACCTCAAGATTGAAAGGTCATTTTCTTAGCATTAGTCTAACACTAGGTTGGTGGTTATGTGTTTGACACATTAACACATATTAATTTAATACAGCAGATAAATGAGTAATAACAACATTAATAAGTCTAGATTTTATGACAAAAGTACACTATTTTTACAATATTTGATTCTATTTATGTTCAGAGTTACTACTTTTTTAGCTTTACAATATACGTCTAAATCCAAACTCCACCGATTAAATTAACAGTAATCTGTCTTATATAATGCCTTTTCAATAATACTCACTTAACTAAAGATTAGTGATCAAATTAATACAACTCCACAGTACTAGTGTCGTACCACTCCATTATATAATTGTTTACACAAATTTCGAGTTTAAATAAATGAAGACGGGAAATAAAGTAACAAATAAATTTATATTAATATGTGAATTTTGGGTACGATCTCTGTATAAAATTTTATAATAAAATAAATTAAGTCCTCTGATTCTGTTCCGCAGCTTGATGATGACACGTGTGTGACACCTGTAGGTTGACGTTTGATGACGTCGACTTGAGTTTGGATACAGGGTGACGTTTGATGATGTCAACCTGTATTTAAGGGTTTTGTTTGAATACACCTGAAGCTTAGTCCCGTTCAAATGTGTTTGAGCGTATCTGAACAAGTCGGCACGAGTTTGATATGCTTGTTGACTTACTTCAGAGATAATTCCGTTTGAGTTTTATGAACTCTTGGAATAATGATTTCTGGATCCCCTCAACTGATTGAGGAATGGTGTATTTATAGGAGATGAGAACCCCTTAAGTGGACTTAGTAGGTTTGGGCCTGGCCCATTTTATGACTTAAAAGTCTTTCAACCTGGTCCATTTAGTTTATTTTATAACCCGAATTTTATTTGATTAATTCAGATTATATATTTAGGTGGGCCAAAATTAATTAAAATGGATTATTCATATGACTTTAACCCAAATTAATTTATTTAATGTAATGTATGACAATCATAAAATTTCCGTGTCTACAATAATAACAAGTCAAAAAGACATTTTATAATTCTCATAAATGACTTCCACCACATCATAACAAAGGGAAGACGAATCAAAAGGAAATTGCATGGGAATTCGCATTTTTCCTTTCTTTGTTTTCGAGTATTTTTTGGCACTCGAGAAAAAATAAGCTTATAAATATGATTAATTTTTTTTGATAATATAAAAAAAATTAGGCGGGAATGTAATAAAGGTTACTACCATCAAACTAGTGAAAGCGTGACACATTTTTTGGGGTTTCGTAATACGGTCAGCTACTCCTACTATATTATCTACAATTTCTGACCTCTACCCTCTATTTTTTCACTGGTCTTTTTCACCAAGGACCTGTTTTTTACCTAATTTACAAAATGACCCATCTCCTAACCCCCAAAAAATAATTTTTAAAAATTGCTTTTTTTCAATTTTTATTATTATTAAAAAAAAATGAAAACAAAAGATAACAAGATTTCAAGAGGGAAAAAATCAAGGATTTAACATTGACGATCAAAATGAATTTTTATTGTATTTTCTTCTCATTACTTCCAAATTTCCCACTAAAATCAAGGAAGATAAACAAAGAAAAAAATTATTCATATTCATCTTTTTTGGAAAATGGCCAGTAATCCTACAATTTTTGTCAGTAAGAGAGTAATAAAACACAGTAATTATTTTACAAATGGTAAGTAATGGTAAGTAGTGATGAATAAGAAATTTGATTACGGCTTTACTATCCTAAACACTAAAGCACTAAACTAGCTAGAATCTAGTGTAAATTCAAAATGCCTGGCATAAATTTAGTCCCAAAGTTTTTTTCAAAAAAGGTAAGAAAGACATCTCATTTCCTAGCAAAACATCACATTGGACATTGGTTAATGTCATCTCAATTCTTACCTAATCATCAACTCAATGACACATACAACTCCAACTTCTCAAAAATTTATATTAATTGTGTTTGGGTACTAAAATGGTCATACCCATTTTAGTCTTGGGTAACTCTACCCATATAAGCCCAAAGGGCATAAAAAAGGTATAAAAGGCCCCAAATAAGTCAAATACATCAATATGGCCTTCAACGGCCCACATATGTAATTTTAGGGCTCATAAACCCACTTATGTACTCATATAAATACCCCTCAAAGGGCATAAGGTAAAAGAAGATCACTCTTATCATCTAAGATGACCATACTCCTCCACTCTCTCTCCTAAACTCCTCTCAAAATATGCATTGTTTGGCAACTAACTTGGGCGTCGGAGGCTCCGCCCCGGGTTCAATCCCCGGGGCTCGGGGTTCATTTTGCAGGTCCATTCAAGGCCCAAATTCGAGGTTCTCAGACACCCCTCCAAGGCCCGGTTAGCTCATTTTTTGCCGAAACAAATTGAATAATAATTCACAAGAAATTTAGAAATACTTACCAACAAAAATGACTAATTTTACTACTATTCAAATGCATATAAAGTATACATCCGACCATTTTAACTACCAACATTTAATTGACATTAACAGCTACTATATCATATATCACCCCAATAACAACACTTTAGTCACTTCCTTAATAACCCTTCTCTTAAAGATTAAGAAAATTAATTCAAACAAAAAAAAATAGAGAGGTTGAAGGAGTAATTTTGACTAAGCTTTTCCATTTTTCATTTTTTTTTAAAAATTTTTAATACTTTGTATTTTTCTTTTTCCTTTTATCACACATTCGGACCCCAAAGATTCTTCCAAAAACGAGAATGAAATAACCCAATGACGTCCGGAAGTACCTTCCTCGCCAACCCTTTGTGCTGCTGCTGCTCGTGTTGCTGCAACTCTTTCTGGGCCCCACTTTCTTCACCGGAAACTGGATGTTCCTCATTTTCTCTCTCCTCCACGTCAGCACTCACCAGAATCTCCGGCGACCCAACTTCTTCTTTCACTTCATTTTTACTACTTTCTTCTTCATCATCAAAAACTGGAGGAAGAATCTCCGGCGTTAGAGAAGTAGATGACCCACAAGATTCTCTCTCCTCCACGTCAGCACTCACCGTTTTCTCCTTCTTTCTACTGCTACTTCTTCCATTGTTGTTGTCTTTCTTCTTCTTTGACGACGTCGTTTTCGTCTTCTCCGTTGAGGCAAGGTGCTCTTCGAAGGCTTCAATGGCTTGATGAATAAGCTCACTATGAGTGGAAGAATCCCAGCGATTCCAAAAATGGGAGAAACAATCAAAACAACAACAATCGAAGCAGGGAGATGAATGATTTGTAGTTGTGGGTATTAATGTAGAAAATGATTTTTTGTTGGATTTTTTCTTGCTTTTTTGGTCAAAATTTGAGTAAGAACAGTAGTTAAGAGTAGAAGATTTGAGGGAATGAGTAATCATGTAAGCGAGAGCTTCACGGTCTTGAAGAGAGAGAATGGAGATGAGAGTAAGAATCGCAGTTGGAAGGAGATGATTGAGTGAAGAAATTGGGTCATCGACATTGATAGTTGCAGAAGAAGAGGAGGAAGAAGGAGAAGGGTGAACTTTGCCTTTGTTTTTGCTTTTGTTGAGCTTCATGGTGAGTATTAATGGTGGTAAATTGATGGTGGGTTTTTGTGGGTTAACTTTTGAGTTTTGAGGAGAGAGAGAGAGAGAGAAGAGCAAGATTGAAGGAATGGGATAGGAGGGGGGCTAAGGACAAAGAGGGGATGGGGTTTGATGGGGTAGGGTTTCTTTCCTCTTTTTTTTGGGGGTGCTAACTATTGTTCTACTACTAGTTTGTTTTTATTTCCTTGGAGAAGAAGAAAATTTAGAGAAAATAAATTTAATTTTGTGTAATATTTTTTGTGATGAGGGAGAATAATACTTGTATTAGTTGATTTGTAAATTGTAACTAGGAGAAATACAATGGGCGTTAGCACTTAAGAAAAGTGATTTTGAGTTAATTCTGCAGAATGTGAGAGAAAACGTGTCGTTAAAGGAGAAAAAATAGGAAAAAATTGGATTGTGTAAATTGGTTTGAGTAAGTTATAATAAGAGTTATGGGACATGTACTTAAAATTTCAACACAAGTGTTCAATTCATAATACATTCAACTTATAATGGAATAAGGACATTGAATTGGATATATTAATGTTTATGAAACTTAAAATTAATGGTAGAGTCATTCCAGATGATTCAAAATTTGAACATCAAGGCATTAAGATGCAGGTCTATTAATATTTTATTTGATACATATCAACATACTACCTCCGCTAACTATTATTTGCAACAAAGAGGTTTTATTTGTGAGATATAAAATATTTCTTTGTTGCAAATAACAGTTAACGAAGGTAGTATTTTTCATAATACTTACTTTTTTTGTTCTATCCTTAATAATAATTAAGTTAATCAATAGTTGAAGTTATGCATTGGTAAACATAAAAGTGAAATTGTTGCAAATAAAGAGATTAATGGAAGAAATTCAATTCAAGGTAAACTAAGAATGCATTATTGTCATAAATTTAGTAATATTTGTTTCTTTTTACAATTTGTCTTTAAAAAAAACTAAAGTGGATGAAATATTAATTTTTTTTCAAAATTATTTGAAAAGGAAGGAAATATTGTGACATTAACTTCAAGGAAAACAAAAAAGGTAAGATAAAACATGTTGTCAGGTGAAGATAATAATGATAAGTTTGTAGTGTGTACATAGGTTTGAGTAATTTACAATAGGATTAAGATGTATGCGACGTCTCACGCTTGCTTGAATATTTAAGAAAAGGGTGCAACTTACTTTGTCTTTTTTGCTCAATTTGACTTTGACAACTTTTGAAACGTGTCTTAAACCATGAATATCTCCATAAAAATATATATATATAACAAAAAAAAAATAGGGGTATTTGCAACTCGGTTTAGTGTGGTTTGGACCCATCAAACCTAACCACATTTCCTACCCTAAACCTCACTTTATAAAAACTCGAACTGCACCACAAAGTATAAATAGGTGTGGTTTGCGGTATAATCAAAAAAAATTTAGAAATTGCAAAACCCAATAAATTTTAAAGTTTCTTTTGTATATATTATGATATTCATAACTTACAACACAAAAACTAATTTAATATTGGGAAAATGGAAACTAAAAATCCAACTTTTACAAGGTCTGATAAAAAAAATCCAACCTTTAAATAATCTCACAAAAACCCAACTTTTGCACCCTACCTTCTCCTACAGATCCATTTGACCTTTAACCTATTAAACAGATAAAAAAGTAATTTTTTTTATGATTCTCTTAATTTCCCTTCTCACTCCTCCTCTTTCTCTCTCCTCTCTCCAACAACCTACCAAGGCACCACCCACCAATTCTGCCACCCCAACACAACCCACCAAAACCCCGGCCACCCCAACCAACCCCGGCCCACAAAACTCGACCCTAACACCAACCACCCTAAACCCCGACCACCCCAGAACCCCAGCCACCCACGAAACTCGACCCACAAAACCCCGACCCTTACACCAACCACCCTAAAAACTCGACCACCCCAGACAACCTAAAACCCGACCACCCTAGGCCCCAGGGGACGGGAGTGGCCAGGAAGGGGTGGGGGTTATCGGATTTGGATGGAAGGGGGCTAATTTGGGTCGGGTTTAGGGTGGAAATGGGTGAAAATGGGTTGGGAGGTGTAGGGAATAGTTTCAAGCCTTTAAAATCCCACTAGCTTGAACCCCACTGTGATCATACACTAAAGTACGGTGGCGTCCAAAAGGGAAGAAGATAGAGCAAAAGAATCGCCAACAAGTTTTTAAGGAACTTTTAAACCGTTCACGAGGTGAAGGTTACACCCACTAACGATCCAAAAGATCGTCAACTCCATAAGGTCATGAACCAAATAAGGGTCCGGGGATGATGGTACAAATCCAACCTAAAAGAGACTGAACCTGCCCTAATAATAGGCCTCTACTTTATTCTGCTCGTATTCATGTGCGCTTTCTGACTAACATGCAATCAATAGGATTAACCCTAAACCTGTTTAATCTATGTTGGTTGAATTTAATGCACAATTAAACTATTATTGGCGATCACTTGAATTTATAATCACAATTAACCTAACAAGATTATTAATTATCTTATTAAGCGTGATTGCAAATACCAATTCCCTTTAACCTGCAATAAAAGGTGATCAAGCAATAAATAATAAGCATCAAGCAACATAATAAATAATCAACATCATTAATAACAATAATATCAATCATAATCATAATCATCATGTTAAAGCATAGCAAGATCCTAGGCATGATACTAACAAGATTAATAACAAATCCTAGCATGTCACTAAACAATAAAAATCAAATCTTTAGCCCTAACATGATACTAGCAATCATAAATATTAGGAAGAGAATAAAAGGCATCATAGCAATCATATTTGATATTAAAATTAACCTAGACATGATACTAGGAATATCATAATAACAATATAAACATGATTTCTACATCATAATATCAATTAATCAATTAAAGAACTTAAAGTACTTACTTGGATGTCTCGTACCTCTTTCTAATAACAAAATACACACGTTAGTAACTTCAAGGAAAATAATAATCAAAACAATTAAATTAAATAATTGAAAGAGAGATTTGGGACCAAACCCTCAGAAATTAAAACCTTTCACGTCTAGGGCGAAGGCAATTTCGAATATGGCTAGGTGTATCAAGATCTTGTGAATGCGGAATTTTGTATAAAAAAAAAAATCAAGAAAGAAAGAATGCTAAAAGATTAATGTTATTGAGAATTGATGAAAGAAAGATGATGAATAAAGAGAATTGGATGAATGTTGATGAAAAGAATAAGGAGAATTTGTGAATGTTGGTAGATGATGAATGATTGTTTAGATTGTAGATTGAATATTGTAGATTGTAGATTGAAGATGAATGAAAACGGAGTTTTCTGATATGATATTTATAAAGAAAATCGGCCAAAAAAGATAATTTATCAAAACAGAGTCTGAAGATCACATAACCAAATTGACGCCAGGACCAGTGGCTAGCGCCAGATGCCAATGGCTGGCGTCTGGTGCCAATCCTGGTTCCAGGCGCCAAGGCTTGGGGTTGGACGCCAAACCGGCTTTTAACACGTTTTCGAAAATATGATAATTTTACCGTACTGGAAGATAAAATAATATAATTTCAGTCGAAAATGCTATTTGATCTAATTAAAACTCTAAAGAATCCTAATTGAATTAAGAATGATAAGACTTTCTAGAATGTTCTAGAAGACAAAAACCATTTCTAATTACATTAGGAATGATAAATCATATTAGGCCCTCCCCTAGATCATTGGGCCGTACTTAAAACTCAAACCGGGCCCAGTTTAGTAAATTGGCCATAACTTCCTCAATATTCATCAGAATTGGGCTTATAACATATCGTTGGAAAGGTCTTTGCAAGCCCCATCCAACTACACCACTATTGGACCCATATCATGGACCAACCAAACTAGATTGACTGTTTTCTTAAAATAAAGTTTTCAATAACAGAGAGAAGAGAAAAGAAAAGAAATAAAACTTTCCGCAACACTAGACCTTTCCACACTTTCGTTTCATTCGATTATGATCCGACGTGAAAGGTACTCATCACCGGGTTTGGTTTTGGGGAGACACGAATGGGTGTCTACAGGAAGGAGGGTCAAGGGTTGTCGGTTTGTGGTCGGCAGGCGGTGGGGAGGTTCGGGGAGGGGGTCGGGTTGGTTTGGGAGGGTCGAATAGGGTGTTTGGCGTGGTGGTTATATTTGTTAGGGTTTAGATTCGTAGAGGGTTTTGGTGGTTGGGGAGGTTGCGACAAGGGGTGGGGGGAGATCGCCGGAAGCCGACGACCCCGATGGTGAGGCTGGTTGGGGGTGAGGGGAAGTTGTCGGGGAGTGGGGGAGGTGGCTGGGGTGGTGCGGGGGCTGGTGGTGGGTTTTTTTTTTCTATTTTATTTTTTCTTTTAATTTTTTTTTGTTTTTTAATGATTAAAAAAATAATTGACCAATTAATGACTAACAGGTGGCACATAACTTACAAAAATCGGTCATCAACAGGTAATGGATATGTGGGAGAAGGTGGTGTATAAAGGTTGGATTTTTGTGAGATTAATTAAAAGTTGGATTTTTTTTTTTGTCAGACCGCGCAAAGGTTGGATTTTTAGTTTTCATTTTCCTTTAATAATTACATATAATTTATATATGAAATGGTAACATCAGGTTTTTTTTTAAAAAAAAATATTCATAAGTCTTTTATACCCTTCAGTTTTTTTTTCCATCTTACTACTTTCCATTTTGATGTATGTGACGTGTGATTGAAATTAAATCCCAATGTGTTCAACTTGTAATATTAATAACATTGAGTATATCAAATTATTTTGGGGTTGTTGGCTGATGGCGGTTTCTCTTAAGTGGTTTGATTAGCTATCTGTATTGGCTTTTTTATGTTGATTGTTTGACTCTGAAATACATATGTTTTTATTTTGTAAAATTGATTATTGGAATAGAAATGTAACTGTTAATATAAAAAGTTAACAACCTGACACAAAATAGGCGGTCTTGCTATTTTTTCTACTTTTGGCGGAATAGCTGGCTTTTTAACCGACAAAAAAGTCAAATTACCAGACATAAACTCCATCTATTATGTAATAATCGCAACACTTCCTTTTTACGTTTGTTTCATAAGAACTGCAACACTTCTTTATTTGGTAAGGACATAATACTATTTTATTATTTCTCTTCTACTAACCCGACGTACACTAATTTTTTTTTTTTTGGGAAAATTCTCACTGGTAGCCTTGTGTTTTTGCTTTTTCTCAATGGTAGCCAATTTTTTTTTTCAATTCTCAATGGTAGCCTCAAACTTTTAAAAAGTTACAAACGTAACCTTATTAACCTAAAAACGTTATTTGCCCATTAACTTTAATGATTTTTGGTTACATTAATGATTTTGTGATTACATTTAAATTTAGTCAGTAATTAAAACTCCCACCAACCCTCATTT